GGATGGATGGATGGATGGATGGATGATGGATGGATGGATGGATGGATGGATGGATGGATGGATGGATGGATGGATGGATGGATGGATGGATGGACAGATCTATCTCTCTACATGATCAAACATAGATAAAGACCAGTTTGCTTACTCCCCACCAAACGTATTTGAGTTCCTTACACAAAATCAAAGAATGTAAAGAAAAATACAGAGACAGACCTCTGAGGGTGTCTCTTCGTTCTCTGGTTGTCTTGTTTTGGGAACAGCTTCATGATGATCTAGACACAAAAATCAGAGTGCAGCAACAACACTTTATTCAAGACTGGAGGACTGACAATGAAACCAGGTAAAAGTTGTAATTATTAAAAATGAGTTAAAAATATTTGTTAGTTCTGAGAATTAGCCAAAAATGCATCAGAAAGACGAGAGAGGCATATCATTTTGGTTCAATTTAAGTTTCATTTTGCTTTATTTCATGTTATTCTATGTTGTTGTCAGGATTTATATACTTTTTTAGTTCTTTATGCTATGTTTTCCATGGCTTCAGTTATCTCCAGGCCCTTCTCTTATCCTCTAGATTTCCTGTGGTCACTCCTTATGTTGTAGTCATTAGATTTATTGCCTTTTAGTTAAACCCTGCCTTTCCTGGTAACTCTTTGTTGCCCCCTAGTGCCTCTTTCCTTTTCCCTTTATTCCTTTCTATCATGATCTTGGCACTAATGTCTGGTCTGAATACTCATTTCACACACCTGCTTAGTTCCGCCCAGTTCTCATTACCTGCTTATCTGATCAACCTGTACTTGTCTCTATTTAACCAGTCTTCAGACCAGTCATCACTGCCAGATTACCTTCTAGCTGTTGGTGAGAATTATTCTAGCATTCCTGTATTCTGATTACCTGATCCTGACCTGTTCTGCCTCTCGACCTCTGACCCTACCTGTCCCCATCTGATCTGTTTGCCTGACCTGTCTTCTGATTCCTGCCAGATCTCTGCCTGTTTGTGTACCGTACAAGGAACTGTTACCCAATTCTATCCTGGATTCTCCCTCATCACCTCACTGGATCTCTTACCTCTTGGCTCGGACTACTGAGCATGTCACCAACATCAGGTCTGGCAGTTCTGATCTCCTGTCTGTCCTCCGACCACTGATACATCAGCGTCTGGGACTCTGTGTGGCACCCACCATGCCGCATTGGCAGCCAACAGGCTGGAAGCAACCTCACCCTAAACTATAAGACCAGGTTGGTGACACACACGTTCGTTATCATCCATTTCCAGAAAGACGTGGTCACAACGATTGTCTTCTCCTGCACAGCTTCCTGCCTTAGATGCCAACACTATTCACTTCGGTTCAATTTTCAATAAGCATTTTGAGAAATCTTTGTCGTTATCTTGGCACAGAAGACTGGCTTAATTACTAATTTCATTCACCTGTCTATCTCCTCCCAGTTTCTCGTTACTGTTCATCTGGTTCACCGGCTCCTGCTTCTATTTAACCAGTCCACTAACCAGTCACCAGGCCAGAATATTCTCAAGCCAGTGGGAAGAGGATTTCAGCATGACCTTAGTGTTTCTGATTACATAGTCTGCCACTCGACCACTGAAGAAGCCTGTTCCCGTCTGATCTGTTTGCCTGACCTGTCTATTGACTTATGCTGGATTCTGCCTGTTTGCTGAACTTGGAGCTGTTTCCTGTCATCGACCTGGATCCCCCTTTGCTACCATTTCGTATCTCTGATCTTCTGGCTTGGACTCCTGTTAACCTCTTCAACACAGGCTTTGGCTTCTGGATAGTCCTGCCTTCCTCCATCTGCTTGGATCTGATTTCCTTCCAGTTCTGCAGTCCTCAAGGCTTGAGCACCTGGGACTCTCGGGGTAGCATTTGCTGCGTTGTGTTGGCAACCGTTCAGAATCCACCTCTTCCTCTGGGCACGGACTGAACTTTAGGACCAGGTTAGTTACTCACACATTCCTAATTATCCTCCGTCTGATTAACGTGCCTACTAACCCCAATTTTTCCCTGCAGACACACCTGCCTTAGACATCCCTACAGTTACTGCAGATCCATTGTTTTTTTTAATAAACACCTTTTTGAGAAATCTAACTGTATCTCTGCCTTGATTACTGGGTCCTCTCTTCTGAGCCTTGACAATCTAACTGTCCAACTTAAATACTGGATCATATTGTTCTTAGCATGACACTTTCCAGCTGTTTCCATCCACACCTGCTTCCGATTTACTGATTACTCCACTATTTGTTCTGTCTCCCATATATACTCCTCCTTTGCAGTTCCTCATGGCCGGATTCTCTTCCTTATTATGTGTGTTTCCTAGTTTTGGCTCCAGAGTTCCTTGTCTGAAATTTCTGGATTAATGCTTCTGTTACTCTTTACCTCTTCGTAAATTTTGCAAGAAAGTATCTCAGCTTTCTATCTCTGCATTTGGATCCTCTACAAGTATCCACTACCCTATATATATGCTTAGGTGTATATTAATAGCTTCAAGGAGTAAAACAATTCAATTATTGTAACCAGTTAATGCTGCATATTTAATCAAGTCTTCCTCTTACCTCCATCCGTCAATTTAATCCCAGGCCTGTTTTCTCCCCCATGTTTTAATGGTGACCATTGGCTCTTGATTTGACCGATGAGTTTCCCCTCAAGTAGATCCAGTGAGTGTGGTGGCTGGTTGACTGCAGCCCAAGTATAAAGCTGGTCATGCTGCAGAGACACATTAATGTCATGAAGTCATTGTACTTTTGTCAAACCAATAAAGTAGTGTTTTAGTATGGTACCTTTCTTGCCTATGAGGTGGACCACAACATCTTTAGATTTCCATCTTTCTATGAGCAAACCCAAATTGAAATCCTGACCACAGTGATGGACAGAGGGGGGTTTATTCAGTTACATTACCTACAGCCATATTTAAAAACAATAAAAGGTCTTTTAGCAGAAGTATTAAAGTATGAACAATGTGTTCCTACTCTCCACCAGCCCCCATTTTCCCTTCATTGAAAAAGCTACAAGAACTCATGTCAGCAAAAACGGTTCACTGTGAGCTCCTGATAATCTCTCCAACATGGAGAGGAATTCCAGGGATTTGTGGACAGGGAATGAACTGAAAAAGATAGTTTTTATGTGTTATATACGTACCGTAACTGAACAATGTTGAGTTATCCACTAAATTTCAAGGTATTAGATTGTGTTCTTTTTTTGGGGGGTTTAAAAGTGAACAGGGTTGGGAGATGTTGTGAATATCCACATTAAGGTTTGAACAATGTTGAGTCATTGTGATTGCACTACGTTTTATCTGTAGGTTGAGCGATTTCAAAAGTTAATTTATTTTGAATGCGCTAATGTTTGATTCAAGGTAGGCTGTTAGATTATGTGTTTACTGAATCAGGGAAAAGTTCCCTCCATGTTTGAGTTAGCTTATTGTGAATACCCAAACATTTCAGTTCAAATTCATAGACCCCACTGCATTCCCCAAAATGCGGCTGGCTCTATTCAATAAAAGTCTACGTACAGGAGAGTGAACAGAGTTAGCAGAATGCTGGTTTGAATCGTATCAATAAAGTTTGACTGAATGATTTGTCTGTTTTTATGACATTTCCTTTAGCACAGCTCCATCTAGTAGATGCATAACACAACCCCAGTCAAATGTTTGGCTGCAGCTTCTGTTCTATGCACCTTATATCCCGGTGCACCCTATATATGAAAACAGTTCTAAAATAGACCTTTCATTAAAGCCTCAAAATCCAGTGCGCCTTATAGTGCGAAAAATACAGTAATCAGTATTAAATAGTTAGCATGACTATCACTTCCCCTACGTAGTTAGCATGGCTACCACTGCCCCTACAGAGTTAGCATGGCTATCACTGCCCCTAAATAGTTAGCATGGCTATCACTGCCCCTACATATTTAGCATGGCTATCACTGCCCCTACATAGTTAGCATGGCTATCACTGCCCCTACATATTTAGCATGGCTATCACTGCCCCTACATATTTAGCATGGCTATCACTGCCCCTAAATAGTTAACATGGCTATCACTGCCCCTAAATAGATAACATGGCTATCACTGCTCCTACATAGTTAGCATGACTATCACTGCCCCTGCATAGTTAGCATGGCTATCACTACCCCTAAATAGTTAACTTGGCTATCACTGCCCCTACATAGTTAGCATGACTATAACTGCCCCTACATAGTCAGCATGGCTATCACTGCCCCTACATAGTTAGGGACTCATTTCCTACAGGGATTAGCTTCATAGTCATGGTAGGACACTTCTTTGATTTTACTGTGGAGAATCTTTTGGCAATTAATCTTTTAAGATTTGGAACATTGCAACATTGCAAATTAATATCTGGAACCTTTCAAGTCAAATATTTTTTTATTCAAGTTCAGTTAATTAAATTGAAACAGCTGAAATAATTTTCAAAATCTGAAAAAACTGCTAACAGTTAAAGAGTTAAAGTTAAAATTATTCAAACAGATCAGCTGAACTATATTTACCATTGACCGGATGACAGGCATTCTGCAAGTCACATGAGGGACCTTACAGTCAGATGTTAACATACGAATTATTTATGACCATTGGCCAGACATTAACATCACATTTCTGTATCTGTATAATGGGTCTGTTTTATGTATTGTCTTCTCAAATCAGAGGCCCCCATGCCTGTCTTTGCCTAGGGCCCCACATTTCCTAAATCCGCCCCTGTTTCCATTCTCTCTCCTGGGTTTCATCTGTTGTACCCAGAATGACCTCCCCTGTCGAGGAAGCGCTCATGAGCACTGATGAGAAAACGTACTGAAATATGAACGAAATTAAACATTCATCCTGTTTTCATATTTTTTTATACAAGGATGCCTTAAAATTGATAGTTTTTGTTCATTTGAATTAATAGGATTTTACTTCAGGCTGCTCAGTGGAGCAGTGGGTGCCTTGCAGCAAGAAGGTTCTGGGTTCGATTCCCGGCCCGGGGTCTTCCTGCATGGAGTTTGCATGTTCTCCCTGAGCATGCGTGGGTTCTCTCTGGGTACTCCGGCTTCCTCCCACAGTCCAGAAACATGACTGTTAGGTTAATTGGCATTTCTAAATTGTCATTAGGTGTGAGTGTGTGCATGAATGGTTGTTTGTCTCTGTGTTGCCCTGCGATGGACTGGCGACCTGTCCAGGGTGGACCCCGCCTCTCGCCATTGACTGCTCGTGACCCCACTCGGGATAAGCGTCTTAGATAATGGATGGATGAAGGATTTTACTTCTTTGGAGACACGTTTCAGTCGATGTGCTACAGTCAGTGTGAAATGAATAAATTCTCTGCTCAGTGGATGCCAACTCCCCATTTTGCTATCAACACCATTCTAGATAATTTCTGACACTTTATTTGTTAAACTTAGAAGCTGGAACCTGTGAAAGATTCCCTCCCCTCCTTATTTTCACATTTCCTCAAATCGGGTTGTCTGTGCTGCTTGGCATTGATGCTGTTCAGAACATCGCAGGCTGTGGGCTACTTGTGAGCACACAGCCCACCAAATGTTGAAAGGGAAATATTATTGCCCTTACTGTTAATATATAATAGAAATGTACGCATTCAGTAATTAAATGTTACAGGGGATGGTATGGGGGGATGCCACCCGCCCTCATCCCCCATACAACTCGAGTATTGACAGTAATCAATCAGATGATGAATAACATCTGACCATCAGAAAATGTTGTGACAAGTGACAGGAAACATAGCAGAAATAATCTGTACGTACATCAAACTTGACTGATGCAGTGGAGGGGATGTGAGCAGTGCTGCCCCCCATCTGTTCTCTGAAGCAGTCTGTAAAAGGAAGCAGGAGACCCATGGCCAAGATCTTAGAGCAGAGCCTCTCGGCTTCCTCTGGTTCCTCCTGCTGCTGCTGCAGGAACAGCTTCTCAAGGAGCGTGCGACCTGAGCAGGGCAGAATAAACAGGGAAAATAACCGCTACATGAAACCAATAGGTTCTTTAAATCAGCTTGGTCAGTCAATTTTATCTATGAGACTCTTTAAAAAAAAGTTATGCTGCTATAGGCTTATACTTCTGGAGGACATAGGGACCCCTTTTTCATCATTCTTCTTCATTTTATCTCTACAGTATTCTCCCACTCTGCATCTATAAACACCTTTGTTTATAGATGATAGAGATCAGCCTGTTTTTCAGTGTAGTCCTGTTTCTCTGACTGTGGCCCCGTCCACACGAAGAC